CTCCCATAAGGCCGCAACCACATCTGCCTTATCATGCATCAGTATTCCACAAAATTGTGCAGAGCCAATCAGTCTGTCCGCCTGTTCATTTCCCAACATAGCAGCATTCCTGGAGAAAAGATCCAGACAATGCTTCTCACCCGTGACCTCCTAAGCGAAGCTTGCCACTCTGCCCGAAGCATGCCTGTCCTCACCCTTCCTCGGCAGGTGGTATTTAGTGTAGTAATTTCAAATACCCTAGTTATAATCTTCTAGGAGGTTGAATGGGGTATGTAGGATACAACTCTGGAAGTCGCAGAGTTGATCAAACCTTTAGTTAGCCGCCCGGAGGGGCAACGAGCAGACAAACATATTTAAGTCCTTTCATTATCATCATTAAGTGCCTTGCCGACTGATTTTGGTGATCATACCTCTTCATAATTTGTGATATCAGCTCATGGGCAGAAACCCCTCTATGCCATGAGGAAAGGATCCAGTTTCTATCTTTTCATAATGAAGAAGAGAAAAATTATAACTGTCTCCTGTGATTTGTGATAAGTTTTCTTCAGACCCTAACTCTTTCAACACATCAAGGCTACTCTTTTGGCTGTCTAAGAAATTGTCGACATTCTTCTGTAAAACCAGAAATATTTCTTTGCACTGCTAAAAAGTCACAGCACTATTCCACCAAAGAGAGAGTGACTGCATTTGTTAATTACCAGGAACATAAAATATTTTTACTGTCCACCTCTCTCTCGTACAGTTTCTTTGGAAAATACGAGTTGCCAAATCTAGCTATCAGTAAAGTGCAGTCGGTAAATGTCATTGTCGCACACGCGCTTGACAAACCAAAAATGTAAGTGCTTTTTTTCTGTTTTAATTAATGATAGGAATTAGTAAGTGTGATTTGGGCACAGCTTTAAAAGACTCATTTGAACATTATTTCCACAGCGCAAGAGAAGATGTTTGATAACTTTCGATTGTTACTGAATGTGGTCTGTGTGAAAAAAAACAACAACAACTAACGAGCTTAAACAGAAGGCAAGGTTCTCATCTTTTCAAAATCTCACAGCGAATTAAAATCGCGTTTCGAAACCAGTCTACCATAGTTTTGCCTGCATTTACAAGATACATTAAAAATTAGTGTTACTGCTGTTCTCAGTTATACATGTCTGAAAAGCGGGATCGTCTGCTTATGCGGCTAGAAAACAGAAGCGCTTTAAAGGCAGAACCAGACATTAGCCTGCAGTTATCTTCAGTTGAATCTAAAATATAAACACTGCAAAACAATGCGACCACAAGTGTCTCATTATTCGTGTTTGCATTATTTAATGGACCTTATTGCTGTTCTCAGCAAAAAGGTAAAATCTAGTTTAATGCGAATGGTGTGTTGTGTTTGTGTGTGTGTGTGTGCGTGCGTGCGTGCGTGCGCTGCGTGCGTGTGTGTGTGTGTGTGTGTTTTTTTTTACTTTGGAAGATTTTTTGTGTGTGTCCAAGTTTTGACAATATCACTTGTATTGATAGTAGTTTAGAATAAACTGACTATTGTGGTAATTTAAAATTCCTTGAAATATAATTTTATTGCATGGTTAAGACACAATTTCTGGAAGAATTGAAAGCTACTGGAAGGTTGGACATGCAAAGAGGATATTTTGTCCACTGGAGAGCTCGGTGACTTGAGAAACTCGGTGACTGGAGGGCTCGGTGACTTAAGGGACTCGGTAACTGGAGGGCTCGGTGACTGGAGGGACTCGGTGACTGGAGGGACTCGGTGACTGGAGGGACTCGGTGACTGGAGGGACTCGGTGACTGGAGGGACTCGGTGACTGGAGGGACTCGGTGACTGGAGGGACTCGGTGACTCGGTGACTTGAGAGCTCGGTGACTGGACTGTGGAGGGGCCTCGGTGACTGGAGAGCTCGGTGACTGGGGAAACTCGTTGACTGGAGGGACTCGGTGACTGGAGGGACTCGGTGACTGAGGTGACTCGGTGACTGGAGAGACTTGGTGACTGGAGCCTCGAGGGACTGGAGGAGCTCCGGTGATCTGGTGAGCTCTGGAGGTGGTCAGGACTGGCGGAGCTCGGATGGACTAGAGGGGGTTGGAGACAGGGCTCGGTGACTGACTGATGAGGAGCTCAGTGACTGGAGGGGCTCGGTGACTGGAGAGCCGGTCATAGTGACTGGAGGGACTCGGTTACTGGAGGGACTCGGTGACTGGATGAGCTCGGTGACTGGAGGAGCTCAATGAATGGAGGGGGTCAGTGACTGGAGGGGGTCAGTGACTGGACTGGCTGGGTGACTGGAGGGGGTCGGTGACTGGAGGAGCTCAGTGACTGGAGGGGACTGGGTAGACTTGGGAGAGGGACTCTGGTGAACTGGAGAGCTCGGTGACTGGAAGGAGCTCGTTGACTGAGGGCTCGATCTGGAGGGATCGGGAAGGGGTTCAGTGACTGGAGGGCTCGGTGACTGGAAGGACTCGGGCTGAAGGATCGGTGGACTGGAGGGGCTCGGGACTAAACTGGGGGAGGGGCTCGGTGACTGGGGGGCTCGGTGACTGGAGGGGCCTTGGTGACTGGAGTAGGGCTCGGTGACTAGAAGGAGACTCGGGCTCAATGACTGGAGGGACTCAGTGAACTGAGGGGGACTCGGTGACTGGAGGAGCTGGAGGAGCTCGGTGACTGGAGGGACTTCGGTGGTGACTGGAGGGCTCGGTGACTGGAGGGGCTCGTGACTGCACTGGAGGTGACTAGGGGAGCTGGGTACACTGGAGAAGGTGCCTCGGTGAACTGGAGGGGACTCGGTGACTGGAGGGGCTCGGTGACCTGGAGCCGGACTTCAATGACTGGGAGGGGCTCGGTGACTAGAGGGCTTGGTGACTGTAGGGCTGCTCAGAGGGGACTCCCGTTTGAAAGGTACTCGGTGACTGGAGGGCTCGGTGACTGGAGGGACTCGGTGACTGGAGGGACTGGTGACTGGAGGACTCGGTGACTGGATCGGAGCTCGGTGACTGGAGAGGACTCATGTGACTGGAGGGGCTCGGTGACTGGAGGGGCTCGTAGAATGGAAAAGCCTCGGGTGACTGGAGGAGCGGTGACTGGAGAGCCTCGGGACTGGAGAGCCTCGGTGACTGGAGGGCCTCGGTGACTGGAGAGCTCGGTGACTGGAGGGGCCTCGGTGACTGAGGGGCTCGTGACTGGAGGGGCATAGAGGGGACTGGAGAGGGCTCGGTGACTGGAGGAGCTCGGTGACTGGAGGGCTCGGTGACTGGAGGGACTCGGTGACTGGAGGGGCTCGGTGACTGGAGGGGCTCGGTGACTGGAGGGGCTCGGTGACTGGAGGGCCTCGGTGACTGGAGAGCCTCGGTGACTGGAGGGACTCGGTGACTGGAGGGACTCGGTGACTGGAGAGTCTCGGTGACTGGAGAGCCTCGGTGACTGGAGAGCCTCGGTGACTGGAGAGCCTCGGTGACTGGAGAGCCTCGGTGACTGGAGAGCCTCGGTGACTGGAGAGCCTCGGTGACTGGAGAGCCTCGGTGACTGGAGAGCCTCGGTGACTGGAGAGCCTCGGTGACTGGAGGGACTCGGTGACTGGAGGGGCTCGGTGACTGGCGAGCTCGGTGACTGGAGGGGGTCAGTGACTGGACGGACTGGGTGACTGGAGGAGCTCAGTGACTGGAGGAGCTTGGTGACTGGAGGAGGTCAGTGACTGGAGGAGCTCGGTGACTGGAGGGGGTCAGTGACTGGACGGGCTGGGTGACTGGAGGGGCTCGGCGACTAGAAGGACTCGGTGACTAGAGGGGCTAGGTGACTGTAGGAGCTCGGTGACTAGAGGGGCTCGGTAACTGGAGGAGCTCGGTGACTGGAGGAGCTCGTTGACTTGAGGGGCTCGGTGACTGGAGAGGCTCGGTGACTGGAGGGGCTCGGTGGCTGGAGAGGCTCGGTGACTGGAGGGGCTGGGTGACTGGAGGGGCTGGGTGACTGGAGGGGCTCTGTGACTGGAGGGGCTCGTTGACTAGAGGGGCTCGGGGACTGGAGAGGCTCGGGGACTGGAGGGGCTCGGTGACTGGAGGAGTCCCCTCCCGTCAACATCCCCCTAATAATTTTATTTAAAGGGTAGGGAGCGGGTCGAGGGGTTGGGGAAGGGGGTGGGGGAGGGGTTAGCATCTCAGTAACTGACCCTACACAATTTGCAGTTAGACCTGTTCACCCTAACTATATATAGACGTTATTTTTCAAATATTTGTAGTATATTTGGTAATTTTAAAAAAACTTTTTTTATTCACTACGTAGTAAAGATAATAATAACAATAATAATAATAATAATAATAATAATAATAATAATAATAATAATAATAATAATAATAAAAACTGAAAACATAAACAGGAAGAATATAACGAGGTTATACGTGCCTTCCTCCCCCCTGCCCCCCTCCCCCTCCCCTCAGTGTTTATTTGTTTCGTTTCACCTACTGTCACTTAACTCAATAACTGTTTGCTAAGAACCTGCCGCGTATGGGATATTTTTTTAATGAATAGGCTCGTCCACGGGAATTCCAAGGCACCGAAAATCTAGTTCTGGTTAATTAAAACCTCGCATTAACCAGGGACTACTAATAATATATGCCTGCTAGGACTAAAATTTTCTTGATGTTAACCAAGTGTTCTTCTTAACTCTTTCAGTCCCAAGCAACTCACCATGCGTTTAATGAAGTTGTCTAGCATGTTATGCTTTTCTCAAAGCCCTGCACCCTACCCACCTGTAGCTTAAACCCATTGTACTCCAGCTGTTAATTTGCTCTCTTCTGTATCATTGCATTTTTATTTGAACCTTTCCAGACCCAAACATTTATTCCTTTGAGCAGCCACTAGGTAGGAGGTAATGGGTTAAGGAAATACATGTCTGGGACCAAAAGAGTTGAGCGATTTTATTTTAGCGAGGTCCAGGTTTTGCTATATAACCTGCCACCGTACATGAAGTAACATTGTTACAACGCTGATGTTATGTTTTTACCGGAACTGCTAGCGAGGTGTGTGGCAACGGTTCTTTGGCTCTTCTTAAAAAGGACGTCACAGCCAGAGGTTTGTCATTCACTTGCGAAGATGACCCAGAGTGAGTTGTGTAATTAATACACTGTTCTCTTCTTCTTTCTTTCCTTCGTTCTTTTCTTTTTTCTTTCTTTCTTTCTTTCTTTCTTTCTTTCTTTCTTTCTTTCTTTCTTTCTTTCTTTCTTTCTTTCTTTCTTTCTTTCTTTCTTTCTTTCTTTCTTTCTCTTTTCTTTTTTTCTTTCTTTCTCTTTCTTTCTTTCTTTCTTTCTTTCTTCTTTCTTTTCTTTCTTTCTTTCTTTCTTTCTTTCTATCTTCTCTGTCTCCTCCTCCACCCCCTCTTCCTCCTGTTCCTCCTTTTTTTGTGACCCTTTGCCTCTCTACTTCTTTCTATGAATACCAATCAATACATTGTCTGTTTATTATATATATATATAGTATATCTGTGAACCTTTTCCTTCCCAAACAAGACAGCATGTGTAGCAAGATTTTCGCACATGTACTAGTTTGTATATTATTGTAGTTTGTATATTTTATGTTAAGTCAGGATATGCTTAAACACTCAACAACTTTATCTTCCATAATTTGTATCTATTTGGGTCATGTTTTTGTAGTATACCTATTACTTTGCTGATTTCACAGTTAACTCACTGGGACATCAGCTGAGTTTCTGGGATACAAAAAGTTAGACACTTCTTTTGTAAAAATCAGTTCACAATCCTAGGAAGCTTTCTCGATGACCCAGCAAATTATAATTGTCCCCTTCCCCACGACATCCCCCCCCCCCCTCTACCCCTTCTTGACTGTGTAAATGTCCTCTTTTTAAGTATTAAAAAAAATGCATTTCATATGATTTTAAAACAATCATTGTATTTGATTTGGGTCTCTTCAGCACAAAACAGTTATTAATTATAATTATTGTCGTGCACATTACCCTAGCTTAAAACTCCTGAGCATCCTCCACCCGCGCGAAAATTTTATGAGAACTGAGGCACCCACCTGATCACATTTCTTTTTAGCGAGGACCATGTACTTAAGTAGAAACTACATAACATATGCAGTATGAGCTACTTGTAAACCATGTTGTGCAGCTTTGGGCACCATATCTGTCCTCAGACTTCTGTCTCCTTAATCGACAGTCACGTCTGATGTCCTGACGCCTAAACTACCCAACTGTTTCTGTATTTTTGAGCACCTACACCAAGAAGAGCACGCTGAGCTCTTATACGGGAGACCCAGGTTCGAATCCCTGGTAAAATCATTAGCAAAATCAGCATCGCCGTCAAGGTCAATATTTACAAATCACTGGTGTCTATTTTCTAATACAGGTGTGAGAGTTGGACTCTCTCTATGGAAATGGAACGGAGGATTTAGGCTTCCGAATGTAAATGCTGCAGACGCATTTTACGAATTAGTTATTTAGAACACAAAACTAATAAATATGTCAGAGACAAAATATACAAAATTGCGGGACATGGCAGTGGTAAAACGTCGCAAACTAGCTGTTTGGGCACGTGGTGCGACATGATTCGATTGCAAAGACTGTACTTGGGGGGGGGGGGGTGGTTACGGCCCCTAACCACACACATTTCGGCGCCCCTTTGATATGTCTACATGTACTACTGATAACTGATTGTCGCATGCACTCATGTTTCAGCGCCGTACTGCACCTTCTCTGTTCCGATGACCCAGCCAGCCGGGAATGCCAGTTGGCAACTGCACACCAAGCCGGGAGTTTACCAAGCAATCTTCTAGAAACTGCTGGGTTTAACCAGAAGCCAGCCGACATGTTAAGCCAAACAGTGGTCTATTAGTGGCCATTTGAATATTAAGCAGACAGTTGTCTCTTCTTCTTCTTCCTCTTCTGCCTATTATTATTATTAATATTATTATTATTAATATTATTATTATTACTACTATATTATTAGTATCTTTATTTCTTCCTCTTCTTCCTTCCCTTCCTGTTCTTCTTTTTCTTATCACACTCTGAAGCATACGTATTTTGCTATTGCACTCAGCTTCTCATAAGTCCTGTCTGTCTTTCCACGTCACTACCTCGTTCCCTTCACCAAGTGAATTTTCTCTGCCTTTATTTCTTTGACTAGGGAGAATTCAAGTGCAAGGACATTATAATTATATAATGATCATGTTTCCTTAATGTGTCCTTACAAACGTGGGCGTCTTTTTTTTTTCTCACATCTTGATTTACCTGAATTTGTGTAGTTCTGTCCCACATCTCGACTACAGTGATTCTGCAATGCTATTTGTGTAGTTCTGTCCCACATCTCGACTACAGTGATTCTGCAATACAATTTGTGTAGTTCTGTCCCACATCTCGACTACAGTGATTCTGCAATACAATTTGTGTAGTTCTGTCCCACATCTCGACTACAGTGATTCTGCAATACAATTTGTGTAGTTCTGTCCCACATCTCGACTACAGTGATTCTGCAATACAATTTGTGTAGTTCTGTCCCA